TTTGTTGTTGTTGTTGCCACTGCTGCTGTTGTTTTGACAGGACCTCACTATGTAACCCTGGCCTGGAACCCATTATGCTGGTCTTGAACTCACAGAGACCAGCTTGCCTCTGCTTCTTGAGTGTTGGGTTTAAAGGCATGTAACACCATACCCACCTCATAGGTTCTACTTTTATTTCTTCAAATCCATGTCTTACTTTATATTTCTTAATTTTGACTTATTTTTCTGGTCATCAATTTCCAAATGATTTAAAATCTTTGGAATTCTCATTTAGAAAGTGGTCAGGTCTATAGATCAGCCCTTTAGTGTCTTCATTTTGTGTGTTTCATATAGTCTTGAAATAGCACTGGTAAACTTGACATTCATTATGTGTGTTCCTGCCTCAAATGCCTTTAACCCTTTACTATCTGAACATGTGAGACTAGAGAGCTTGAGAAGTAAAGGCAAGTCTTTATAACATGACAGATTTACAAAATTTCTTTAAAGTTATTTTAAGTTAACATACAAATTAATGTATGTTATTCTCATACAAACATGTCATTCTGTGTTCTGTCTGCTCTTCATCCTTTCTCCAAATAGTGCCCCCTTCTGTCTTTGTTTCTGAACGAATACAGCCACTGTGGACTGGCTATGCACAAAATACAGTCTGGTGTCTTTGCACAAAAACTAGAAATATAATTGCCAAAAACTCAGCTCAACATAGAGCTTTCAGAAGAAGAACTTTGGTAATCTTCTTGTCACCAAAATGGGGACATTTCGTTTTCCATTCATTATCTAGTTTTGTGTGTCTTTTAACAAAGTGCTTCTATAAAGGATTAAAAACGATTTGGCAAAATCCTCTCTGTTATTTTCAGGAGTTTTATTTCAGAATTTGTCTTTTAGTGGCTTACATTTAGATATCAAATAGTATCTGTTAACAGCACTTTTTTTTTTTTTTTTTGACCATGTCTCATGTGGTCCAGGCTAACCTTGAACTCACTATATAAGCAAGGATGACTTTGAACTTCTGACTCTTCTTCCTCTATCTCCCATGTGCTTGATTATGGGTATATATCACCAAGTCCTGTTTTATGTGGTGCTGAGGACTGAAGCTCAAGCTCCTTGCATGTTAAGAAAGCATGCTACCACCTGAGCCATCTCCTCAACCAGCAATATGGATCTTAAAGGATCTAGAAATACCCATCACAGCTTGGCTTCCCTGTGCTCATGCTTCACTGTTATACATAATGTTAAGGTGATTGTTGTGTCTTGTTAGTCAAGGCACCTCCTTGTGCCTTGTGTGCTCTGTGTGAGCAGAGTTTTGTTTACTGGCTGGGAATAAAGCTTGCTGGTGCTGTGACTGGAGCTAACAATACAAGTGTATCTTCCTTCACCAGGCTTGTCATCTGACTTGTTAGGAATGAAAAAGAAAAGCTTCTTGGCTAGTCACATATACAAAATGACAGGTATTTTCAGAGCCATCAAGGAAGAAGGGTCTTCAGCGAGTGTGTGTTCTACCCAGAGAGTCAGTGTGCCTCATACTATGAGAATTCAGCTATCCATAATGAACAGGTACTCTGTCCATAGAAGGGAGCATTTTGTCAGCTGCATCTGGTTTGTTTAGTAACTTAGGTCGTGTTGATATGTGAGCAATGCCTTGTCCCCTAGTGTGCAATTAGCATAGCTTTGATAAAGGTGACTCAGTTAGTTAATGGGTATAATCTCATTGGTTAATACCATGCACAGTGGTAAAAGGAAGAGGCTAGACTACAGACACTACAGACTAAAGGGCCTCCAAATACACCCCAAATGAATGACTCACCCTGCCAAACTCTAGAACAAAACTCCTTGCTCTGATTGGACAGAACTAACCACTCTGAGCAAGACCTTGTGACCCCCAAAGGGGTTGTTACCTACAGATTGAGAACAGCTGCCCCAGGACAAGGATGGAAAGTTAAATACAGTGAACTCTTGTTCATCTGTATTAACAGAAGCCAAGGAATTGGGATGCCTGAACCCCAATCCATTTTGAAAATCTCTCTTAGATCATATTAGACATAACAATCTGTATTTGCCTATATATGACAGGTTTTTTTTTTTTCTTAAAACTATTAAAAGCTCTAAATTTTCTAATCTCTCTCCATTGACCAAGCCTTTGTCACAATGGTTCACTAAGATCAGAACTTTAACTGTTTCTTGGGCTCCCATGTGATCAGGACAGGAAGTGAGGAAGTGTGTGACTGGGGTAGTCATAATCAATGGTGACTAAAAATGTATGAAGTTGTGAGTTATTCACTCCAGCACTGGTGGTTGATATTATGGGTCTCCTCACATTCGGAACATAAAAGTTCTAGTCCCAACCCAAATCCCAACTACAAGTTACATGTTCAGCATGATGCCTGTGCCTGCCGAGTGCTCCATCCAATGCAATGATTAGTGTTCTCATGGTCATTATTAGCTATGTGGCTTTTAGCAAATCAGATGACTTCTAGCCAGAGACTGCTGTCCTGGAGTCTTCCTCAATGGCTCTCTAGTCACTAAAACCCCATCTTCTTGCTGAATCCAGAGCTCAGCATTCAACTAGCCTAGCTATTGGCCCAGAGATTTCCCTTGCCTCCACTTCATCAGACTTTTATCAGGGTCCTGGAGATCTGAATTCTGATCTTCATGCTCATGCAACAAGTGAGTTATCTATTCAGCCATCTCCCCAGAACTCTTGGCTTCATTAAAAAAAAAAAAAAAAAGACCCTGTAGATCAAATAAAAGTCCTTCTTAAAATGTTCAAATTCAAGGCAGGGGAATGATGGAGATGATGGCTGGAGCTTTTGTTTTCTAATTGCTAAGTGAGTTTAATGTGGGTTAATTAATGATGCTATTGGTGAATGGAATTAGCTAATGCAAAAACCTAAAGCATCATCAAAGGCACAAACAGTCAGGTGCCATCTAGGATAATTGAGGGAACAGAGGCTGCTAAGGGCTGGGCACCAAGCTGTTGGGCAAGCCAGGGGAGTAAGGGAAAACCAAGTCAGCCTAGGGCTGAGCCATTTAAGCAGCAAGGCTGGCTGCCAAAATGCCATCCTGTTTACAGCTCCTGTGTTTGGATTTTAGATTTACTTGAGTCTTTGAAGCTCAGTTCTTGGGCCTTTCCTTGAGAATAAATTTCATTCTTTAGAAACCACAAAACACACTCCCATCGTCCCCAGAAGGAATGTGAGCTGACCTGGCTTCTTCTGTAAGTCCCCTTAGTACCTAAGGGACCTTTTCATTAGAAGGTGCTCCAGAGTGAAAAGAATCAACCTGGGCTTACACCCTATGAATGGGGTGGGGTTGGGGTAGGGGTGGAGGAGTAGGGCCAGGTCTGTCTCCGAGCAAATGTGGGATGGCCTCACAGTGGCAGCACTGAGCTGGGTGTGAAGACAGAACTGTCAGATCTTCACAAACACAGATTCTTCCAGATGACTCATAAAATAGAAAGTGTCATTAGTGCCCCCTGCCCCCTCCTCACCCATGCATGTAAACTGCTGAGTTTCATAGCTGGGCAGCATGGCAAACTGCAGACTGTCAATTGTCACCCTTTCCTACATTGGAGAGCTGCAGCTGGCCCCCTGCTGCTGGTCAGCATCCATTGACAAGTATGTGCATTAGCTGGGAAAGGATACAGATTCAAACAGTGAAGTACAATTTCTACCGAATGCTATTAAATTCTACACTATCACAGAGAGTCTGTGTGGGACCCTCTCTACATCTCCTCGACACAAAACAAAACAAATGACAACAACAAAAACCAATCTGTCAACTAAAGACAATGGCCAGAGTAGGCATATTACTTCAGCAAAGTTCTATTTAGTTTTTCCTTCCAAAGATGTGACCTTCCAGAACTACCCTCCAACATGCCATCATGAATTGACTGAGAGAGAACAAATTGCAAGAGGTGCAACACACACACTGCTGTCATCTCTAGGGAGGGTGCTTATGTTTCCGAATGTTAAGTTCTTAAAAAATAAGTCACTCTCTTAAAGTGACTTAGGTTTTAAGTGACAAGGACACAGAATGCCTGTCATACATATGAATGACCCTGTCCTTTTCCATCTTTTATGCCTTTTTTGCCTCTTGGATACTTTGAACAAACTTAATTTTCACTCTGGTTTTGAAAATGTCCCCAAATGCCACTCTGAAACAGTAGGGTAATGGAAGATGCTGATTCTTTCACACTCCACGTCTCTCTCCACTGCAGAGGTATGTGTCCTGCTGACTGTGTCCAGCACCCTGACAGACCAGGACTTCTGCACTCTTGTCACCTGTCTTGCCTTAACTGCCCTCTGGTGCTGTAGGTCCAGAATAGCATAGCAGGGAGACATTAGCAGGGACCTCACCTGCTGTCCCATCTGTCCTGAGATCACACATTTTTGCCCTGCAGGAACTTCTCTTGCAGAGGCTGGAAAATCAAACCCTACCCAGTGCATGAGGCCCATCCATCCCAGATGCCTCGGAACCCTTTGGCTGGAAATGCAAACCTCAAGTGTCTCAAAGACCTATCCATTATTCTCCCTCCCTCTCCTCCGGCAACATGAGACTATGACATTGGGTCTCAGACTTGAGTGGAATCCCAGAACCGGGTAGAGGCAGGTAGAGAACCTAGACTAAGTCCCAGGTGCTGCTTATCTTCTTCAATGAGCCGCTCTCGGGAGCAAGCCGAGAAGCACTGATCTTCCCCCCCAACCCCCCACCTCCACCGACAGCAGCACGTGTTGTAGTAGCGTAAATACACAGTTTGGCGCACTAACCAAAGTGCACTCAACAGCAGCATGGGGTTTCTGATGTTTTCTTCAAAACAAAGGAACAACCTCAGGTCTGCGAACTGGTAGCACAGACACACAGTAATCAGTAATGCTTGTCCAAACGCAACCCAAAAATGACACGCATTTCAAAAATGTACTCGGGATGCTTCCTAGCCAAGGACACCTCGGTTTCGTCCGCGGTTGAAAAATACGGAAAACCAGAAGTAAAGAACCAAGGCTTACCTGGTGCCCCAGTGAGGTCAACTTCTCGAAGCAGAAAGAAGATGGGTCTAAGAAGACGGCAAGCAGGTAAGGGATGGGGGCAGACTTCACAAGCTATAGCCAGCGTCCTCTCTGAAGCAGGTGAGCCACAATCTTGGGGACAGCCGGGTGACAGCAACCAGGCACACTTCTGCCGCCAGCCCCACTAACTTTCCATTTTGAAGAGCTCCCGGAACTCTCTTTTGACTGCTCCCAGTCCTATCTGCGAGTTTGCTAACAGTCAGGCGGGGGAGAGGCGTCCCCTCGCTGCAAACCCACCTGTGCCACCTAGAGGCCGCGACAGGCACCGGCGATGACGGAGCCTGGGCACGTCAGCCTCAGGCTCTGCTGCTAGATGCACTTGGCTCCACAGTACTTCCTGTTCCTTAAGGGACAAGCTGGAATGTGTAAAAAGGCTTGATTCTCCCATCCCCCGAATGTGTGGGGGTCTTGCGCCTATCAAAACAACTTGGGCCTTTGGGCACAAGAGTGTTGAAAGGTGAAATTTGCATGAAGTTATCAGAACCAGAGTAGAGCTCAACCCCCAAACCCCCATGGGTACAGGCATGAGTACTATTATAGTCACTCATTCTTCTTCATGCAGCCCAGAATACATTTGTGCATATTTCCAACCCATCTCCCACGACCCTCTCCCACCCACCACAGGTTTCCATCGTCTCTTCAACCCCTTCTCTACCCTCACATACTCCATGTCATTATAGGTAGCTATATAGATAGACTCCAATAACTTCAGATAAACCTAGGAACTTCCTGTAACTATAGATGAGAGTGCTAGCCTCATATAAATACATACTCAGTTACTCCAGGAAAGTATATGTATCTTTCAGAACTCTTGATAGCCATATCTATCCCCCACACTTCCAGATAAGTATATATGCTCTGATAACCTTATATATGCCATGTAATTAGATAAACAGGACGCATGAAAACTGTATTTCTTTCAGTATTGATTAATTCTTTTTCAAAAAATTAATTATCCCTAAAATGCCCAGCCTTAAAGAATGTAACAGCCCTGTCCCTTTGCCCCCCAACACCATGATCCCTGTGAGTAAAGGAATGGAGACTTCTTTTTCTTCTTCATTTTTTGAAGCAAGGTTTCTCTGTGTAGTCCTGGCTGTTCTGGAACTTGTTTGTAGATCAGGTTGGCCTCTGGTCTGCCTGCCTCTGTCTCCTGAGTGCTGGGATTAAAGGCCTGCACTACCAAGTTTACCTAGGTTGGAGACTTCTATACACTTGGATTTCTTCTTGTTCTCTTTGCCTTAGATACGAAGTGGGGGTGGGGGTTCGTAGTAAGGAACCCAGTGAAGAAACAAATGACAGTGTGCAGGACTGAGACAAGGATCCTAAACTTAATGACTGTTTCTAAGGGAAAGCAGAATGCTTTTGCTTAGCTTGCTGACCAGTGTGGACAGCTTATCTAGACAGGGCAGATGCCCCTGAGTGTTCAGGCTTGGCTGTCTACATTTCCCAGAGTTTGTGATAAGTGAAAACCACTGAATTCAAGTAGGAACTTGGAAACCCAGTGTGAAGTACTGGATTAGTCTTCCATGTGTCGCATCATTTTTCACTTTTTGGCATACTTATTTTGATAAGGAAATATGAGAACAGAGGTTTAATTTTAGCTCTAACTTTTGTTTTCTGCTGGATATCAGGTAATGCATTTAAATTTACCAAAGTGAGATAGATGACATTGCCACTGCCACAAGACAGGAGAAAGGGAGGGAAATATGAGTCTGCACGAGATGATATTTAGTAGAAAGCAAAGCAATACATTCCTGTGGTTCTTTTAACCAAATTAGAATGTATGTGCAAATTAAGACAGTGTTAAGATAATGAAGCAAGAAAGGTGACTGCTTATCCAAATCATTTAGAAACTCTAAAAGCGCATTACTTTTTGTTTTGACTATTTCCTAGAAGGCTGACATAGAAAGAGCAATGATTATCATAGTAGTTCTTCTTCTTCTCCTCCTTCTCCTTTTCCTTCTCCTTCTTGATGGGAGATGTCATTCTGTATATGTTTCTCATACTGGTTAATGAATAAAGCACTGTTGGCCAATAGGAAAGCAACATAGGCGGAACTAGGAGACAAGGAGGAAAGAGGAAGGAGTAGGGAGGAGTTATCATGGAGAGACCAGGGAGACCAGATGCAGGCCCCATTCCCCGGTAAGATGAAAAGCACTTGGAAATACATAGATCAACAGAAATGGGCTAATACTTAAGACAGAGCTAGCCGATAAGAAACAAGTAACCAGCCTACAGCATTATATCAAATACAGAGTCTCAGTGTGTTTGGGGCTGGCACGGCGGCAGGACAATACCAGCAGCGGGAGGAAAAACCTTACTTCTTACATATGGCACCCATGTGGCTAATAAGGACTTCCACTTAAAATTTATCAAAAGCTTAAAAAAGGGTTTTAGAAACAAAAGAACAGAGACTAACATATTTCCGCGGCTCCTTTAAGGGAAGTTTCCTGATTCAGCATAAGCGGCAAAAAACCGCACGGCTTTTAAGAAACTCTGTTAACAATTCATTTGTGTGTATGAGAGCTGGCAATGGCAGTGACCACATCTCCAAGCCGGCAACATGCTCCTGGATGGCAGCGCAAATGAAGGCGGTGAGCACAGCTCTCACTGCTGGCAGTAAAGGTACCTGCCACCATCTTTGATAAACTGTGGCAGAAACAACTATGACTTTCATTTTAGCAATGTTGTTGTTTACCAGATAAAAGACTTGTAGCCAGAAAAAGATAAAGATTTACAGTAAAGAGAGATTCACATAAAAAAAAAAAAAGCACTAAAGGTTTACAGTGTGTTTTAAAATATACGTAGGCTTGGGAGAGAAAAAGAAATAAAATGGTTTTAAAAAGACAAAGAGGTGTGGTGGCACACGCCTTTAATCCCAGCACTCAAGAGACAGAGGCAAGCAGATCTCTTGTGATTTCAAAGTAAACCTGGTATGCAGAGTGAGTTCCAGGACAGATAATTGTTACACAGAGAAACCCTGTCTCAAAAAATAGAAAAGAAACAGAATAATAAAAAAGCCACAGATGGAGAGAATCTGGATACTATACGGTATTATATTGTCTTTGTATTGTTTGACTGTTAAAGGAAATGCTGCTGGATTAATTCAATTTATATATTTTAAAAATGCTTTGACTTCAAAATTTAAGTCTAAGGACAGGTTACTGGGGAAAAGGATTTCTATTTTTGTTTCTACAGAAAATGAAAAGCTGTGGATTCCTTCCAGACTAATGTGGTTTGATCAAGCCAGACCCCCTGAAACGGAGTTCCTGGTGATCCAACATTCAAAACAACTTGAACAAGGCAGCCTTGCAGACGACAGCCAGGATTTCATCTTCTTAGGATCCCCCATGACAGCGCCCTTTACCAGCAGGAAGCAGTTTGGAAAGAACGACGCCCAAATTCCAAAATATTGTTTATAAATGTTTGTTTTCATTTAAATGGGCTTGGTTATAAATGGTTAATGACCACAACCAATCTCTTTTAAAGTTAAAAAGGGGATTATGGTATAGATATGAATACTTTGTTTTGGAATGGATTTTCATTTATTTATACAAATTTAAGATCAATTTTATAATAAGTATATTTTGTCTCTTGGTTAGGTATTGTGTTTATATAGCTCATTTAGAAATGTAATGTATAATTCAATACAGATTATAGATAATACCTATGATAGTCAAATCTTATAGTTAAGTTAGTTAAGATTTCTAGATATATAGAGATGTATTTGAGATAGGAATTCTTCAAACCTGTCAAAGACCTTATCTATTGAGAAATTACAGGCTGCACATCAACTTGTAAAAGAACAATTAGAGGCAGGACATATTGTTCCTTCCACTTCCCCATGGAATACCCCAATCTTTGTTATAAAGAAAAAATCTGGAAAATGGAGACTCCTACAAGATCTCTGATTGTATGCAAATTATAGGAGCCACACAACCTAGCTTACCTGTAGGTATTCCTCAAGGCTATCATTTATTAGTTATAGACCTAAAAGATTGCTTTTTCAGCATTCCCTTGAATCCTCAGGATAGTGAGCAATATGCATTTAGCATTCCTTCTGTTAATTTAAAAGAGTCTTATAAGAGATATCAATGGGTGGTGTTGCCTCAAGGAATGGCCAATAGTCCCACTATTTTCAAATTTATGTATCATTGGCCATTGCCCCCATTAGAGAGAAATTTCAAACCCTGTATATTATACATTATGTGGATGATATTCTTTTAGCCAGCCCAGATCTTATGGAAGTGAATGAGGCTTTTGGGGAATTGCAACATAATCTTCAACTAGCTGGCTTAAGAATAGCCCCAGAAAAGATACAACAAGAATTTCCCTATCAATACCTGGGTCATTATATTCTGGTTTCCATCCTCAAAAGATTACTTTAGGGCTGGATAGACTGACCACTCTTAATGATTTTCAAAAATTATTGGGAGATATAAATTGAGTTCCATCTAGTTTGGCCCTAACCACTGGACAACTTAGACCCTTATTTGATATTTTACAAGGAGATTCTGATCCCACTTCTCTGCACACCTTAACACCTGCTGCGCGAGCATGCATACAACTTGTGCAAAAATGCTTCCAATTTTCATGCTTAAATTATACTGACTATTCTCAAAACTTGATGGTATTAGTTTTTGCTTCCGCGTATTCCCCTACTGGGGTGTTTTGGCAAACTGGTCCTATATTATGGGTGCATGAACATGCATCCCCAGGAAAGACAGTTAGATCTTAACCCCAGGCAATGTTTTCCATTATTCAAAAGGCATACAAAGTTTTTGGCAAGATCCCTGATGTAATTGTTAATCCCTATACTCAACAACTGATACAATGGCTTCAATAGTTTGATGAGGATTGGGCACATTTCTTGTGTTCCACACCCTGCCACTTTGATTGTCATTTTCCTTCCAATAAATTGGCTCATTAAAAAAAAAACACCCTGTGTGTTTCCCCAAGATTATTTTCAAAAATCCTTTGACGGGGGCCTGCGATGTATTTACAGATGGCTCCTCAAATGGTTGTGCAGTCATTGTTTCCTTTCCCATTATTAAATGCTCTATACTTAAAGTGAACATTTTTTCCTGATGAGCCATTTAACTTATACACTGACAGTAAATTGTGTATCATACATTGGCTCCCTTAG